ATGTGGTTGGACAACCTCAACAATGTATCTGCCCCAACAGCCATTCGTTGACAACCAGTGTCGATTGCGGCGCATCCATCATCATGCGTACTGCTTTCTGACCATGTGGAAGACTGGCTTGCTGACGTTTCTGTCCTCCTGTGGCGGTCTTTCGGGTGATCATGATTCTCGGATGCCTTCCCCCGCAAACTAGAATCCCCCAAAACAAACGAAACTTCACTCTCATTTCCCTCAAACCCCTTACCAATAGCAGCGCATTGGACCTTATATCGGGAATGAGATGTGTGCTTCTGTCCAGCTACAGAGTGGGAGCTGGATACCACTGCAAAAACACTGGTTTTCCGATCACCCTCAGGCTCAGTCGGGCTTTTGCTCGATGTAGTGGAGGTCACCGTCGGAGGCATCAGTGAATCTTTCTTCACGTCCATCTCGACGACAGTGCCCTCCTGCTCCATGAAAGCCTCTTCTGGCGGTTCATAGTCCTCTTCAAGGTGGCGCATTTGATCTCCATAGATCTCTCGATCCAATTGATCTTCGGGATCCATCAGGCGGAAGAGCTTCTCATCATTGAAGTCCTTCATGTTCTCTTCCACGGTCGGCTCACTCACCTCAAGATGCCCACAGAAGAAGGCTTCTTCCGATTGTTCTTCCTTGATCTTCTCCATGTAGTAGTTCTCTTTCGTCGCGCTCTTTCCACGACCTTTGCCATCAGGACATTCTCGATGCCAATGTCCCACCCGCTTGCAGATGGCACATCTGCTGTTTTGCTTTAGCTGGTCGATCAGCTTGCTCTTGCCTTGCTTTCCTTTTTCTTTTCCAGACCCTTTCCAGCCTCCATAGCCCCTGGCGAGCTCTTTGGCTTTCTTCAACTTCATGCTCTGGCTGAAGGTCCGCTTCTGAACCAAAGTGTTCAACACCTCTCGAACTTCATGTTCGTCCAGTGTCTCGTCTTCTTCACCTTCGCCTTCTCCAGCTGGTCCATTCTCTTCTTCTTCGTCCTCGAGCTCCTCGAGGGCGGCCTCGAAGATCTCATTCTCGTCGAGGTAGTCGGTGTGCTCATCGGTCACGATGTGGTGCACTGATGCCGTAGCCGATGAGCTAGACGCTGTCTTGCCCTTGTTCCTGTTCAGCTCGATGCCCACTTCTTTGGCCATGAGTTTCGTTTCGTGTTTTCTGACCCAATCCTTGACGTCCTTCGTGGAGATGCTTCCCCTCGTGAAGTTCATCATGTTTTTGATGTCCTGTTCGCACAGATTCAAAGCGTTGATCAGGAGGAAGCCCTTGTAGGGGTCAGGTAACTCCACTTTGTGTGAATTCACTCGCCTCATTGCTTCTTCCCATCGATTGAAGAAGATGCGGTGCTCCTCATTCTTCTCTCTGCGAATATGGTAGGTGATCTTGGCCAGGGAGCTCAGCAAATCTTCTTCACGATCATCACCGAAGTTCTCGGGCAAGTCCATTGCAGCCAGTAGTTCATGCCCTCCTTCATCGTTCTGGAGCCAGGTCGAATCCCTGGCCCAATGCTTGAAGGTCTGGAATGCCACTCCTGACAGACCCTGAAGCAACATAGGACCCTGTGAATTCTTCCGGGTCTTGGTGGTGGCCAGCCATAGTTTGGCCTTGATCAGCCAATCCTGGAAGGGGGTCGAAGTCCCATCCCACTCAGGAGCCTTGGCGCTGGATCCCCCGCGCCAATCACTGTCGTCTTCTCGAGGTCCACCTCGATCATGGTCACGAGCTCGACGTCGCCGGTCGCGAACAAATTCACGGTACTCATCACTATCGAAACCATCCGACCAGCCAGGGCCTCCTGGCGTCATGCCATCTCTATGAGATCGTCCAGGGCTTTCACGATGCCCTTCCTCAACTCCACTTCCATCCGCCATGGCAACTAACCTAAACTAACACGGACGCACCCTGGAGCTTGTCGCTCCGCTACCACTATGGATCAAACCTGACGGACATTTTTCCGCCAGCCACAGGGTCCTTGCCCCGACTTGAGCCACGGCGTACGTGGCTTGCTTTGGTACACTTCTCGTTTGTGCGTTTCAGCCAACAGGAGACGGAATTCACAATTTATTTTTCCCCCCCAAACAGTGTGGGCACACTGAGGGGTTCTTACGGTAGTAGAAAAGCAGCTGGGGCGCAGGTGCTTAGATCGCTGAAGCGCGCGGGCGTGCGCGGCTGATTCGCTGCTATTTACACACAATGCTGAGGACAATGCTGAAGGTGTTCTTTAGCCACTGAGCACAAGGCTGAGCACAACGCCCTGCGCCATGACAGTCGCCGCAAGTCATAGTTTATAGATATATGTATATATACACTACCCCCCGCCAACGATCTACCATGTTTGCCTCTCGCACGCATGTCTAAGTCAATATTGTACATAGGTCTACGTGCAGCAAAGAACATTGCAGCAGGTTGAGGTTATACTTCTAGGTGTTGTATATTTTGGTGAAAGCCAGAAGATTCGGAGCAAAAGACAAGGTTGTTTGATGCAAAGAAAGGGAAGGAGAAGAAGACCTTTTTTCCCCAAACAGTGTGGATTCGCTGCTATTTACAGTACATTCATGACTCTCGACATCGTCCATGTGCACTTCGACTGCGCAGGCTCGCAAAATCTGCCTGCCGGCGGCGGGTGCTTCAGGCGACTGCGCGCTCGTTGTGGCGCCGCGCGCATTTTGGCACATGGTGGTCACTTTTCGCGACAGGTGCGAGGGAAACCTCGTGTTTTGGTGCTCCAAAGTCGACTTTTCGTGACAGGTGCAAGGGATCGGAGCTGTTTTACTTCGAAATGCAGTTTTCGTGGCAGGCGCAGCACTTCGGACATGGCGGTGGTCGTCGACGAGCTCTGATTTCGTGACAGGTGCAGTGAATCGTGACTTTTCGACATGTGGCTCGTTTGCAGATTTCGTGGCAGGCACAGCACTCTGTGACCCTTGATGCGCAGATTTCGTGGCAGGCGAAGCACTTTGTGAACCTCGAACTGCAGATTTCGTGGCAGGCACAGCACTTGGTGAACCTCGAGGTGCAGATTTCGTGGCAGGTGCAGCACTTGGTGAGCCTCGAAGTGCAGATTTCGTGACAGGCACAGCACTTGGTGAACCTCGAAGCGCAGATTCCCTGGCAGGCACCGCGCTTTGTGAACCTTGAAGCGCAGATTTCGTGGCAAGCACAGCGCATGGTGAACCTCGAAGTGCAAATTTCGTGGCAGGCAGTACTTTGCACACTGTCATTCTCATCCACACTCACTCCCACCCACACTCACTCTCACTCACACTCGCACTCCCTCACACACTCACTCACACACACACTCACTCACTCACTCACTCTTCCACTCCCACTCCCACACTCACACTCCTCACTCCCACTCGCAGACTCTCACTCGCTCTCACTCACACTCGCACTCACACTCACACTCACTCGCCCACACTCACTCTCACACTCACTCTCACTCTCACTCCCACTCGCACTCACTCAGTCTCACCCAGACTCACTCGCACCCACCTTCACTCTCTCCCACACTCACCCACACACACACTCACACTCACTCTCATTCACTCACTCTCACTCTCACTCTAACTCTCACCTTCACACCCTCCCACACTCCCACTCACACTCACCTTCAGTCCCACTCATACTCACACTCACCCTCACTCTCACTCACACTCACTCTCACCCACACTCACTCTCCCACTCTCACTCACTCTCCCACTCTCACTCACTCTCCCACCACTCTCACTCACTCTCCCACTCTCACTCACACTCACACTACCTTCACTTCATCATCACCATCACCTCTCTGGACCCCAATGCGTCTAGATCTCTAGACGGGATAATTTTGCCGGGATAGTTTTTTTAAAGATGTATATGAATATGTATATAGGCAGAGTGGACAAGGAGGAGCTGGAAGTGGTGAAGTGGCTATGGCCGTCACTCGAGAAAGACTGGAAATAAAAAGTGGAATACAGAGAGGTTTGGGACGGGTCCGCTTTTGCGTCTCGATGTCGGGGCGTTGTGGAGGGGAAAAAGGGCACCCTTGCAGTATGGGGAAGGTTTGGTATGGTGTGTTGGTCGATGCTTCAAGTGAGTTGACGGCTGGCTTTCGTGCTTAGATATCCCCTGGTTCTCAGTTAAACTTGGAATGTGGTTTGGAGTAAGCGCTATGGTTTCCAGCAACAGCTGGCCACTTCAAATGGCACCAAACTGCCAACCTCTGTGGTATGGATGGACTCATATGTACAATTTTTTCAATAACTGCACAAGATTACACATGTGATTGGTAGAGCAAGGAGATTGCAGAAACTCAAGGCGATGGTCTATGTCCACGTTTCACAGTGCTGCTCGAATGTGGAGTGTCCATTTTCCGGATGTTTTTGTCGACCCACGGGAGAAGTGCTGCTCAGCTTGGGAAGCTTTCGTCGCAGGGACGGGCTCTTAACACATGTCATATGGGGCGCCCTTTTGAGTCCAGTATATAACTAGACCTTGCCACGGATAACAAAGGGCACCCCTAAGCTATTCAGGACCTTCCGCCTCCAACGCTTGCCTGCTGCAATCTCTTCTCTCTCCTGCCCTAACCCCCCAATCCACGTGATCTCCCACCACATAGGGGGTGCCCTCTTCAGTTCGGTTCTCTCGCAGGCCCTCAACAGATGGCATCATGCACTCTCTTCTCTCTCCTGCCCTCAACAACCCCCAATCCACGTGAACTCCCACCGCATAGGGGGTCTGCCCGGCAGCAATGCTAAGCTTAGCCGCAACTACGATCTATTCTCTTTCCATGGCCTGTCCACCTTTACTCACTTCGTTCGCTCCAACAACCTCAAGCCCTGCCTACCGGCTGGCTTTCGTGACAAAGTATAACACATATGTAATCTGGAATAAGAATACAATAATGGTGTGTGTGTATATACATAATATATATATATATATACAGCACCAGTTTCAACACAAACCTACCAGGTTGGACGCCCCCTTTGTCCCTCTGGGCTGGCCACGGCCGAAGGTGCGATCTCCACCGTAGTCTGCGCCAGCGGTGGGATCAAGGCCGATTTCTCGGACTTGAAGTCGCCGGCTTTGAGCCAATCACCGTCCAATTGGAACGCCAGCTCACAGTCATTGATGATCTCAATGATCATTTCTCACCGAAGACAGGACCTTGGATGTGACACATGAAAACCGGTGTCATCGAACTGGAAAGCAGATCGAGGTGTCTCTCAGCGCCCGACGCCTTACTCAAGTTGGCCAGTCCGGGAAGAAATAGCGACTCGTTGACTAGAATTGCAACACTTTTGTCTGTCGTGTGTGGGCTGCTGCTAAACGCAGAGACGCTGGGTAGATCCTCTTTTTTGGCCCATCCTGACGATGCACCTCCACCCCTCCCAAGAAGGCCTTACTTGCTTGTCTCATGCAGCAGGTACTGACTCCGCATGCCTACTGCTCTGCTGCTCTGTGACTGCTCAAGGACCATGCGTGATCCAAGTGTTTGCCCTGTGCCTGTCGTGTGCCCTAGACATGTTGGTTGACCGGACTTGACGAGTTGAAAAGGCAAGCGGAGCAAAGTCCAGCGTCATGAAAGATTGGAGCAACCAACGACACAAAGTCTACGACTCAACACAAGCATGTTTTGTCACACCCCATCTCTGACTCACATTTCTACTGCTGTCCCACCGGGTTGATTCAGCTGGAGCTTAAGCAAATTCGGTGGCTGCGCACACGGTGTGGTTCTCCAAGTTCAGTACTGCATGCCCCCACATGTCGGGGATGTAGACCACATCCCCAGCCTCCTGTTCCAGCACACAAGCTCCGCTATAGCATTGCTCTACCTCCTCCACACTACAGTTCACCGCATCCAGTGGGTGCAAGCGAGACATGGCAGACATGCTTGGTGGCCTGAGCCACCATCGCTTCTTGCCCAGCAGAAGCAGGTTGACCGCATCCTGGTGAAAATGCATCGGGGATCCACTGCCAGCATCTCCGACGGCAAATTGAAGTGTGGTTGTGCGGAAGGGGCAGCTTGAGTGAAAACATGGAAAGGTTAAAGGACCGCCCACCACCAAGCCAAGAACTTCTGCAAACACGCGAGCAATCTCGGGCTGGGCTTCGTCATCCACCGCTACAAAGAAGTAAGAAGCAATGGAACCGCGCACAGCTCCTTTTCCACTTGAGCACTGAGCTCCTTCATCGATGCGCCGCCGCTTGCAGCTTCGCAGGAATTCTTCCAAGGTCACGGGCTGCTCTAACGATGCATCCAACCCGAAGTCTGATCCATAGGGAATGTGAGACACCTGCGTTCGGCTTCAAACAGTTCCAGCCTCCTACACATTCCACACATCTTGCAGATCCACTTGACACATCTTGAAACCAAGTTGTGCCAAGAGACGAGTGCTCTGGCTGCAGCAGCATGCTTCAACAGGTCCTCCTTCTGCCAAGAAAAGCCTGGCCTTCGCGAGTTGTTCATGCCATGGGCAGACACAGTACGGTAGGCCATGATTGAAGTGCAACCCTGCCAATTAGAGGCTCTAGTTTTCGTTGTTCCGCTTGTCATCGCGGCATGACCATCGGCCATTGGCACACGAATGGACTAAGTCAAAGCAGCACTAGACTAAGCTCCGATCGAAATCCGCCTGCAAGAGTCGGATCCACAGGCGCCTGAGTCGACGAACCGAGTCGTCAAAGCTGCGAGCATTTGGGTCTCGGTTTGCTCCTCTCTCTGGGCCACCTGCTTCCCAATGTGGTGCGTGCGCGCTTCACAAGCACCTGAGGCCGATTTTGCTGCACCCACATTGCTCTCTTGCACCGCACTTGTCCGATCTCCTTCAAAATGATGTTCATTTGGAAGCAATCAGTTCCATTGAATGTCCTTTTGCCTGCACCCACTTGCAAAGATTACAGTTGGCCCATGCCACATTTTGGAACGGGACTCTTCTTTTCACCTCGGTTTTAAGAAATGTCCAGAGACACTATCGTAAAGCTTGAATCCAAGGAAAAAGGTCTTGATGCTATCCCTCTACCACCGGTGTCAAACCAATTCAAACTAATTACTGTATATAACGGGCTTTTTGCTGCGTGCTTGAAGGTTTGCCTCGCTACCGCTGCCTGCATGTCTCCTTATTTCCTAGGGAATCAGTACCAAGCCTGACCAGGCCTCCAGTACCCGGGTCCAAGACTCTGGCTGTGAGCAAAACTTGGATCTGGGTCGGGTAGGTATGTATAGGATTCTTTCACAGCCCCTCCCTCCAATGGATTTCTTTACCAGGCTCTACTTCCTGTGGAGCTCCATCTTCTTTTTTCCTCGCCGCTCTAGCACAGTCTCCTCCGCCCAAGTGAGGGATTCGTCAAGGACATGGCAGCCACCCAGCTCTTCCAAACATCGAGAAGCATTTCGGCCAAGGTCCAAGTAGTGGTTCACACGAAGGAGATCCACGTGCAAGGAGACAATGCTTTGACCATGAGCTCTTGGCTGGGCCAAATGCACTGCAGTTTGCAGAACGTTCACCTAATCAAACAAACAATGCAGGCCTGCGGCAGGCCTAAAAGGCCTAAAAGGCAAAAAAAACGTGTGTACCTGTGAGCGACCAGTGCTGGCAACATTCAGCTAAATCCTGTTTATCAGCTGAGCGGCAGGATCAACAATCCAAGCAAAGGATTGAAAATGCTGTGAATCTGCTTCCAGCCCTCGCAAGCCTGGATCACGACTCATTTCCACACCTCGCTTCTGTGTCCAAGTGGTGAAAATGCTGCGGCCAGCTCTGCGGGGGCCACCCATGGGTTCCTGGAAAAGCTCAAAGACCACAGTCCCAGGAACCTCATTCGCCCACTGCTGGATCCAGGTTCCCAAGGGCAAATCCTGGCGATTCACGATCGAGTGATTCACATGATTGCAATGTAACTCTACCTGAAATGGAAGCCAAGTTATGTTCCCGTCGGTGAGCCCAACATGCCTTCTAAATAGGCATCCTCAGGCCTCAGGCCTGTCAAGAATGAATGCTTTTCCAGTCGTCCAGTCAACCTGCCCAGCTGACAGCGGCCCGACCATAACAACTATAGTGGGCCCCAAATTGATAGAAATGATGTCCAATACATTTTTAGTGGAGATCTATATACTGTTCTATCTATATAGTTGGGGTCAGTCTATTTACTTTCTACCTATTTGGTACTGCGCACCCGAATGGCCAGACCAAACGGGAGCATTCCCAAGCTGTTCTAAGAAATGGCCACCATGGGGGGGAAGGTGTAAATTCAAAGGGGTGGATCTTTCCTCGGCCTAGCAGAGGTGCGAGCAAAAATGAGCAACCGAGACACCTGCAGTTTCTCGGCTAGAATGCGCGAGTGGAGATACTCCTCGAAGGAGTGAATGACCACCACCCAGTCAGACACCTGTCTGTTCTCCCAAATGCATAGCCTTGCAATAAATGCAGCAGCACCGATTTGTGCATGCTTTCACATGTCAGGTGGTATTCTGAAATTCCTCTGGGTCAATTGGAATATGTAAGCACACCACAGCAGAAAGCACAAAGTACTGTAAAGCAAATACGACAAAAAGCAACCTTTTTTCACGTTTCCTCGCGACCCTTCATTTCAACCAAGCAGCTCCAAAGCATGTGGTTCCAAAAGCATGTGGCCTCATCCCCGCACCAGTAGTGATGAGTGCTGAGTGAAAACGGTCCGATAGCAGCTCGCTCATGAGAAAAGCGATTTGATCAGTCTAGCGGCTAGCGTTAGTCACCAAGAATTTTTGGGGAGAAGGCGTAGGTAGCTTCCAGCAGATCAGCATAGCGTTACTCTCTACGTGTTGGTGGCAGGGGCACAAGTGGAAATGACATCCAAAACACCTAGTCATCAAAAATTGAGCATGCATGTTTCTGGCACTGACCTGCTGGACGCCATTTAGGCCTGTCTGTGCCTTCTCAGAGAGCGCAATGCCAACCCCAAGGTGTTCAGTAGCCTTTTGAAACATCTCTCGATAGGTGGAGGTAAGAAAAGCGTGCTGTTCCAGAACGCTACTAGGAGCAAGGACGAAGGATGCTACTAGTAGCTGACTGAGCTCCGCAGCACGGTGTCTGTCGTCCTTTACTCCACTCGACCAATATATATATATATACACCATACAACTCCGGTTTCAACAGGGTTACTATTCACCTCCCATTCTTGAATGCATAGAATGTCAACCTGGTGGCCTTGCATGAAACAAACTGAGGGAAGATCACCCTCTACAGTTCAGAGATGCAATACTGAATTGTTCAAATTGTTTACTTTCAAGGGAGTGTGCTTGGTAATCTGGTTGCAATAGAGCATTTATATAAGTCAGAGTCCTTGGGGCAGTTATGGAGGTCATCTGGGGAGTTGCAAGCGGCAGTGAATGTCGATTCGTTTCAATCCGTTTCTTGGGCATCTACTCGGCCGTTGGTTCTTGGGCTTGATACATGCCGGCCTGATTAGCCACATCAAAGGCCTGCGCCCTGATTTGTCGGTACATGAGGCGCTGCCCTCTACATTTACAAGAACGGTTTACACGCCGTGATGAGAGGGCAGCAAGGCTGCTACATTTCTGGATATCTCTGTGTGTGGGCGCGCATATCTGTGTGCATCTTTGTGTGCACAAAGGTAAATGAAGTAATATATAGTAACAAGAAGCTACTAGGTGGAGACCATCGCAAGTAGGTTGGAGGCCATCGCTACTAGGAGCAAGAAGCTACTAGTAACAAGGGCATTGTGTTGCTTTAGATGTGGGTATTTTCAGTTGTTCAAGGTACGGTGTGTCTTTCGTGTCCAATGTGCCGACAGGCCGCGTTGTTTTCTCAGCTCCTTGGCTTCAGCGGCAAGGCCCAGCTTCGGAGACACCTCGACCAAAGCGTCTCTACAATGAAGGTGGGACTTTGGGGAAGAGCCCGGCAAATTGGTGATTCAAGTTCTTGTTCTCCTTTTGTCTAGGTTCAAATGAATCAACTTGAGGGGTCTGCGGAAGCACCTTGCAATCAATGCAAATGACTGGAGCCTATTAAGCCCCCAGCCTGATACGGGAAACGTTCGTGGTAGGTCACAAGCCCCTGCTCCACGAAGGGCTGCACAAATCGCTTGTACGACCTAAGACGAGAACTTGCTTTAGGGCTCCCACCCGCGGGAGCCTGCGATGCCTTCATAAAGACTCTGAGGACTTAGACACGGTGCGAGCAGGGGGGGGCAGTACCCTAAATACCTGCATTCGTGGGCGCTTGAGCAACTGTGCTTCCACGTCATGGACTGTAAGCTGCAGGCAAGCCGCCCGTCTGTGTCAAAGACCTTGCCCCATATTTCACAGCAAAAATGAAGCGCGCAAGACTGCAAAGGCATCACTTCAGACCGCACCCCTTCCCTACACACGTGCCACCATGGGACGGTGAAGTGTTCTATGCCGATCGCAAAGTGGTAATTCAGCCAGTCTTCCACAGCATGTGGCAGGAGTTTGTGTATGCGGTCAGCGTGATGCAGCCTCAACACACATGCGAGACAAGTTACCGTAAGAATGTTGACGTGCTGAACTCTGCTCGACCGTGCTGAAAAGCAAGGAAAAGCAACACAAGCACAGGAAAGCAGGAAAAGCAGAGAAGCACTGAGAAGCAAGGAAAAGCAAGGAGAGCAGGAGAACAGGAGAGATTATAGAGAAGCAAGTACAAAACAAGCACAGAAAAGCAGGAAAAGCAACAAATCATCAAGAGGCAGAAACAAAAAAAATACCCCTCCAAAGACAGTCGTCTGACCACGTCTCCCAGAAACCCAACAATACGATTCTATGGTTGCCACCCTACTGGCATAAACGCTTGGCACACGCCAAGTAAAAACGCCGCCACTACCACCAAACAGGTCCAGAGACGGAGAGCTGCAAGCCGACACACGGCGAACCACCGCCCGGCTGCGAGGGCATAAGCGCAAAGGTTCGGGGCGCCAGGCAGCTCGCAGCTGAAGCCTTGTCGAAACGGGTCGAGTCTTTGCACTACATGTTGGGTAAAGTTGGGTAAAGACTTTGTGTGTGGTTGTAGTGAGGGCATGCACCATTGGGCCTATAGGGTCTCATCTGACATGTCAAGATTTCATCATCTGCGATCCATTCGGTTTGATATTTCCCATGTCCGCTCAAAGCAGTGAAAGACCTAAAGGTTTGGAAAGGCACCAGGAAAACCGTGCAAAGACAACCTATGCGACAGCAATGCACGCCGGGCACACCAGGGTACACCAATCCAGTGCAAACCAATGCAAAGCAGTGCAAATCAGTGCAAACCAGTAACTCCAATGCTGCAGTCGCTCTCGTCTCCCACCTCGGCTCAAGAAGCTTCAAACCAGCCAGCTGAAAGAGGCCGCGTTGACCAGTGCAGCTTAGCACAAGGCTGCTGTGCTGAAAGAGGCTTCCACTTGGCAAATGCAATCAGAAAGTTAAAAAGAGAAAAGTCCTTGAACAAAGCACACAGCTCTCTACAATAGCAGCCATGATTGAACTTGATACTGTAAATACGTGTATAATGCTTATGTATATATATATATATGTGCGTGTCTGATTTATGTGTATATATATATAGCGTTTTTTATATACTTTGGGTGGAATCTTCAATCTTCAATCCAGGAGGTACGAGGACCTCTTCGTACCTCTCTCATGCCCAAATATTATAAGTCAGTGTAATTGCCAGACTTTCCCTGTCAGCTCAATCTATGTTCCTGAAGTTAAATTTTCCCGAACTTAAATTTAAAATACAGCATAGCTCTAATAGTCTAATATTAGTAGAATTATGTTTTATCTTTGATGCGGGGAAGAGACATCTAAAGTTAAAGGGTTGTTGGCCATTTAGGTATTAGGTGCATATGTGTCAAAGCAAGCAATGAATGGAAGGTAAAAGTAATTACAGTACCTGTTATGCTTGTAATTGTTCTTTTTATCAAGTGCATCTCAAATCAATCAAACATAACAGAATTATGAGCACGATCTAGCCTTTAATGTTTCATGATATACTTATTGTGAAATTGCATCATAAATCTTCCCATATTACTTTTTTGGTGATGAGTTGTGGGGCTGCTATACTTTACTTGATGAAAACTTTTGAAATGCTCGCTGCTTGACTGTGATAAAGTGATATGAAGAAACATACAAGAGACCCTAGTACATGTTTGTTCACCCCTTCAAGGTCAACAAGGTCAAAAACGTTTGATGGTTGACGGGATGCTGTGTGAACCATGACAGTTTGAACCACAAGCACAAAGAGAGCTTAGCATATTCACCCAAGTTTGAGGAGCTTGCATGTGAGCATGGGGGAGGAATGGGCGATGTGGTGAGGGTGGATGCCTATACTGGATGGTCTAATTGGGACGATGGTTTGGAAAAGGGCGAGGATTGCAGGATGAAAGAGATGGAAGGCAAAATGGGGGCCAAGGGGCGGGCTTGATAAATAGGGCCAATAGGGGAGGTGTCCCCACTATCAGAGGGGGTAGGGCCTGTGTGAGGGGCGCCCTTTGTGAGCTTGAAAACCTTAAGATTTGATAGAATGTTGCTAAAAAAATGAAAGAGATTTGCTAGAGTTTTTAGTGGTTGTGGAAAAATGTTGCTTGGGGGAACATTGGTCATCAGAATGGTTGGTAGCAAGAGCCTTCAGGAGAAGCAATCAGAAGGTTGGGTGAGCAGCTTGAGGCAGCTGAGGGGTGGTGGTGAGAATGATCAAGATGAGATCATTAAGACACCAGCATCCCAAAAAATGAAAACACCAGCACCAGCTGGAATGATTTCATGCAAATGGCATGTGAAAAGGCTGGGGCAGAAGATCAGTTTCACAATGGATCAGCTTCACTATAGTAGGAAGATCTTGGATACTACTGTAACTGAAGAGGAAGTATTTCAGCAACATATTGTAATAGAGTTTTAAGTTAGTTTAGTGTTGGGGGCCGAGGTAGGCTTGATATAGCTTGATTGAGTATTGCGGGAGGTTACTTAATCCATCTTAATCCTATGTTAACATGTTGCCAAAGGGAGCCGCCTGCCATTCTCCACGCAAAAGGTGGGTATTGGTAGGGGGTAGCATATATATACTGCGAGGGGACATGCTTTGGAAGCTGGAAATTAATAGTTTTCGTG